CGCGTCAGACCGTTTGCCAAATATTTTGCTAAGAATGCGCATTTTCCTAACGTAAAATTCGCCTCCTTATGAAATATTTGCATCATCACGCGCAGCCTGGCAAATACATCATAACACGGCGCATATTTTGCTAAGATGGCAAATATTTCGTTAGCGCGGCAATTATTTGCGTAACATGGCAATGTTGCAACCCGGGAGGGGGCTTTTATAATTATTCACACATCAACCAATAGGAATTCTTGGCAGGGTTAGTCTCCAATCTCCATGACGATGAGCAAACATTACTGCCTTTTCATGTGGTCCACGCTGTAGGTGCCCGCACCTGAAAATAGGTTTTATCAAATTTAGAAACGATTCTTCGGTAAATTTAAATTTAAGTGGGTAGGGGCTTTTATACTAACCATACATGAACTTGACTACAAGTTTTTAGCAGAGTTGTTAAGAGTATCTAACATATTAATACTTTCAAGACTTCTCTACAAAAAAAATTTGAAAACATGAGTAAAGCGTAGTCAGATATATAGAAACGATAGACAGCTACATTTTTTAGTCGTATCATGATTACCAGATTTGTGGAACACTAGTGTGTAGTGTATGATTATTATGACAGATGTGCCAATAGACCCGAAGATAGAGTCTACATAAGTAACTTTATCAATAGACTGTAACAGCTGGGTAGGTTTTATAATGCAACATTTACTCATAACTGCAACTTTCATCATACTAAAGTCCAGGAAATACACGACCTATAACTTATAGCACAGTTATATATAACGTATATATATAACGTATATATATATATATATATATACGTTATAAGTTTATACTATAAGTATAACCTATAACTGTGTAAATTATGCGACAATAATTATTATAGGTTGTTACGTACCTTACAACTCTATTCATCCTGACAGAACCTTTGACCCTCCAAATACCTTTTCAACTCTGGTTCTGACTCCTGTTTAAACTTGCTCACAAACTTGGCTTCCTCGAGGCCGTTCTGAAGACCCAAATAGCCCGCTCCAGCAGTGTGATCTTTAAAGAACCCTTCAATCTCCGCTATTGTCTGGCTGTTCCTTTGTCTCTTTACCATGGTCTTGAGAGCGTTAGCGTACTCAAACTGGGCCAGTCCGTATTTGTCATTGTATACCTGGTAGTTGTCTCTGTACACATGCCACACCACATCTGGGGCTACACTGCTGTAGTAGGATATGAAGTTTATGATCACACTGACAGATGTAGAGGGGTACTGTAGGAGGGTGTTGCCGATTAGCTCGATCTCAGCTCCGTCCGAGGTCTGGACCAACAAGTCCATGTCTGCTCGTTCTTGTGGAGCTGAGGCTTTGTATTGTGAAACAAGCTCTGACAAATCCTTTCCGTCATATATGGTCGGTTTCCTTTCACCTCTGATGTAACGAGCATATTTCATAAATATCTCGAACTTTAGTTGTTCCACGAGTGTTTCTTTAGAACCCTTGGTGGCTTTGTATTGAGGCAGCAGGAGGTACACTATGTACTTCCTGTAGCAGTCAGCCCAGCTCTCGTCGATCATAGAGCGGATAGTTTTAAAGTACTTGTAGATCAGCGTCCAGGGTAGATAATGCTGTTCCTCCCTAAGGCACTTGGCCGCCTCAAATGCGGTGCTGTAAGGCACTAGCTTGACCTGAGCAGCACTGAAGATGTCACATATGACGTGAGCTCGGTCGCGGTGGTTCATGGTTCCGAGGGAGGGGTCCAGTGTGTTCTCTCTGACCACCTCCAGTGTCTTGTCAAGGTTGGAGCTAGAGTAATGGGTCACGTACATGTGCTTTCCTTCGCTGTTCAGTTTTATCCACTTGAACGGTTTGGAGAGCGTGAGGACCATTTCTTTTTCTTTCATCATTATGTGTTTATCAGCGGTGTAAGACATAGAGTCGGTTACTATGGTGATTGGGATGTACCAGGAGTAGTTGAAGGGGGAAATGTCATTTTTTATAATCATACCACTATCTCTTACATACCTAGACTGAACCAGGCGAATCTGCTTATCGCTCAGAATTTGAAGCTCAATCAGGGGATAATTCTTCTGGAGAATGAAGGAGTTCATGAAGAGTCTTAGTTCAGCACCGTTATTACAGTACCTGGTCATGCTGGTCAACAGGTCCCGGTACCTTGCTGTGGAGTACTTGTACGTGTTCAAGAAGTGGGTCATACCCGACTTGAACCCTTCTTCTCCCATAACGTCCCTCATCATAGCCAGAACAGTGGCTCCTTTCTTGTACGTGATGGAATCAAATATCTGGGTTATCTGAGAAGTCACGTGGATCGGCATCTGTACGGGGTGAGATGTGATGATATCGTCAGCAAACATGGCTTTTTGCCAGTTATTTATCATGAACTGGTCCATCATCTTCACATCGTCATAGAGAGAGTCAGCACAAGGGTAGGAGAGATAAGAGGCCATCCCCTCTTTCAACCACAGGTCATCCCACCAGTACATGGTCACCAAGTTACCGAACCACATGTGAGACACCTCGTGTGCAAGCAGGTTTCTAAAGTCTATCTCGCCTGAACCAAACCTCTGTCTTGGACGGGACAGAGCTGCATTTTCAGTTAAAGTTATCAAACCCCAGTTCTCCATGCCTCCAACCAGATAGTTGGGGATACCAATAGTGTCTAACTTCGGTAGAGGGAAGGGTATCTTGAAGAAATCGTTGTAGAATTTTACACTTTTTCCAACAATTTCAATCTTCTCTGCAATGACGCTCCTGTATGCGGGACGTGCATAATGTCTCATGCGTACTCCTTCAATGATCCGCTCCTCAAACACGAAATTGTGTTGAACCCAAGCCAGCAGATAAGTTGACATGCCAGGTGTGTCCTCAAACTTAGTACTTTTCCTGCCATCAGCCAGTAACACCTCCTTACTTACAGGCATGTTAGACGTGGCAATGAGGTTGTTAGGATGGATTACAGTCAGGGAGAACACTGCCCGAAACTGAGGCTCATCAAAAGACGGGAATACTGTCCGTGCTTTGTCTGGGGACAGATGAGTGGAGGCCATGTTGACGTACCCTCCACCATGTGCCAGGGTGTAGCCAGTTCTGTAATATCCAGTAAGTTTGGAGGATACTGTCCCTGAGAACAAGCTCTTTATAACATAATGTCCGGGAGGGAGAGCACTACCTAGTTTTATTATCAGCAGATCTTTGGCGGTGTTCCAGCGATGTGAGGAACAAGGTTTACATTTGTAATTCAACTTCCAGGTGCCATACAACAGAGAGGTGGCTCGGGAGGTCAGGTAGGCTAGTGGATGGTTTAAACTCACACCTTGGACAGTGAGCTCGGAGATATTAACAGTTTCGCTTGCGTGAAGCCTGATCTCATGGCTCTGTTTCAGAACATCGAACTGGATATTAACGGAGCCGGAGTAAGTCCAGGAGTTGAAGTCAGTATCGAAGATAAGGTCGTATCTGGTGGGTCTGATGAAAGGGGAGAGGTCACCAGATTGTAGGGATATTATTGGGAACAGTAACAGGAGACATAATCTCATGCTACGTTACCATCCGCTAATCAACAGCTACTAGTCCTAAAATAAGGGGTAACTAGTCAAGCAAAAGTTAATCGTTCTAAAAAACTGCTGCGACTCATCTCTGAAACTTAGAATCTACGTTAAAACAAAATACTCGACTAATACCAAAGCCACAATCCTAAAGCAAAACGCTTGATCAAGACACTCAAGATAGATTCAACAGTACGGACTAAGGAGGTATGCACTATTTTCTACAATGGTATGATTAGTGAGATGTGACTATTGAGTATATAGTCTGTATACTAATATATAGTGAGCTCAATACACTGCAGTATTACTATAACATGTGACCTATCGTACAATAAAAGTCTCCTTTAAATCATTATTTGTAGACAGCAGAAAGCTTGACCAAACTTGGTTAATGGGGCTGACATTTGCACAAAGGGAGTGCTCACACGTGCACAAAGGAATATAAATACCAAGCTCTATTACAAAAGGTGATATTACAGTAAGTAATATCACAGTAAGTAATATTACAGTAAGTAATATTACAGTAAGTAATATTACAGTAAGTAATATTACAGGAAGTGATATTACAGTCTGACGATATTGCATTGTCTGAGAATGAAAAAATAATACGTTAATTAACAACAACAAAAAAGGACAATGCATTAATTTCACACTATTAGTTTTGCGGAAGGGTCCCTCTTTCACAATATATGCTAAAATCATTAAGAGATTAAGTTTCTGCTTTGCTTGATCTGACCTATATAAACTACCAGTGCCATAGTAACACGCAAATTTGACGTCGTCCTCATTGATAAAAATAAAAACAAGCAATATACAGTTTTCGTTAACTTCAACCAACAACGTCTTCACTCTTCATTGAAAAAGAAAATGTTTAATAAAATTAATACGTCAATCCTTAGAAATAGTATGTTTAACGATAAGACCTAATCAATGAAACTGTATCAACAAGTTTCGTCATTGACAAGTAGGACAATAGTCAAATGATTGTTCTGTATCTAAATAATTATTCTCATATTTAAATAAGTTCTCTCTTTTTTAAACCTAGAGCTTATAGTCCAGGTTTTCATTAATAATCAAACTGGATCTCGTACGGGGATCATGTACTCTATTAATATTATTAAATTACAGATTTGTATTTTATATGTTACATTTTATAGTATGACGTGCGGACTGCAGAGTTTTTCTTTATCTGCTTCGCCACAACGGCTACACTGACGAGTTTCTCATTGACGTCAGAATCTACTCACCAGACTAGATCACACACAGTTTAGGTCTACAATGACGACAGGAAGCAGCCTCTATGCACTGCCTCACATCTTTATATTTTACTATACTACGCATCTTAATAGAGGGGAAAATATTGCTATAGTACTTAGGTACCCTCTTCTGTGTTATTTCATATTTGATCTTGTTAGGACTTACATTTACTGGACTCCAGAAGTGCTGGGGATATCAGTACATGGTCCTTCCAAAACTGAAGTGGCCTCTTGCCATCTATGATATTCCGTTCACAACAGTTACCAGATGGGAACAGAATACCAACAGTTTCCTCAGAAAGTGGTTAGGGGTGGGGCACACTCTGAGTGGTCTTTGTCTGTTCAGTCAATCATCCAGTGTGGCCTTACCGGTGAGCAGCTTGACAGATACATGGAAGATAGAGAAGTGTCGACTGTTGCAATCTTATCAGACATCTAAGGATGACCTGATTAAAGCAGTCCAGCCCCAAGTTCGTTCTGGTAGAGTTTGGAGGCCTGAGACAGAACTGGAAGAGGCCAGAAGAGATTTGGTCTGTGAATCGGTGCGAGGGATGGTGCAACCTCAAAAAAGAGTTGGCATCGGTTTTGGTGACTGGAAAAAACCTTGGGAGAGGATGGATGAGCGGGAAAGAGAGAGGGAGGTTATGCTGAGAGTGAAGGAGAACATTGAAAGAGAGAGGGAGGTGCAAGTAGGTTCTCTGGAGATGCAGAGCAGGTGGGGTGAGTGGAGAGAGCTCGTAATGAAGACGGATTTGAGCTGGCATACACTTTTTAAGTATGGTGACTCACTTATTGGGTTCATGCTAAGTGCTGTGTACGGCACCCTCTTAACCCCCTCTATGGTTTCCAAGTGGAGTGAAGATGAGGATGGGAAGTGCAAGTTATGTGAGGAGAGGATGGGCACCATTCAGCACATTTTGGCTGGGTGTAAGGTGGCCCTTAGTCAAGGAAGGTATAGATGGCGGCACGACAAGGTTCTGAAGCAGATCTCTGAACAGGTTGTCTTCCATTGTGATCGCCGAGTGAACACTTATAAGAACAAGGCCGGCAATGGAAGACAGTTCATTGATTTTGTTCCTGCTGGGAGGAGAAAAGCAGGTACAGACGACCGGAAGGAGAGTCGTGGTTTTGGGATCCTGAGTGGGTATCGGGATTGGATAGTGCTGTCAGACCTTGAGGGGCAGCTTAAGTTTCCCAGTGAGATTGTGGAAACACGGCTGAGGCCGGACCTTGTGATATTCTCAAGGTCGGCAAAGACAGTTATTTGGTGGGAGCTAACAGTACCATCTGAAGAGCGGATCGCTGAATCGCACGAGTACAAACTCGACCGATACAGTGGTCTGCAGGCTGAGATTCAGGCGAAAGGTTGGTGCTGTTATAATGCCGCAGTCGAAGTTGGAGCTAGGGGAGTGGTTGCGCAGAGTTTGGAGAGAGCTGCGAGGATGATTGGTTTTAGAGGAAGAGAGCTGAAGAAGCTGGTACGGGACAGTGGGAAAGAGGCAGCCCACTGTTCCAGATGGATTTACTTGTTATCGAGAAAGAGGGAGTGGGAGTTCAGGAAGGTTGGAGCTTGAGAGTTCACTATAACATCTAGAGGAACCATAAACGTTATCTCGTCGCCAATTGCGAGCTCTAACGGGTCTCCTCAAGTGACTCTCGGATCAGATGGTGGTTCAAGGGTGGACTGCTGGGGCGCCTGACAGGAAACCGTATTGCGATTAAAGCCCCGAAACGGTGTCAGGTTGGTAACTGATGATTCTGATCCATGCTCCTGTGAGTTTGCTGTTGTATCTCAACTTGCTAAACTGAGGCATCTCCGCATCTTGGGTGAATATGCGTACATCTTCATACTAAACCCAGGTGTGGCATGTGTCAGTGAATACGGGCGAGCGGATGCAATAGCGAAGGTGGTGTGGCAAGGCCTAAAAGACACAGTCAGATAGTTGTCAGCTCGCTGACTGTAAGGGAGAAGGTATATCCGTATTTCGCTGCTACTGATGCAGTCCTTGATCTGGCAATCAAGGCTTCTCTGTTTTTCGTCTAACTATGTACCGTTGGGCTTGTGGAACCCGTAAGGGGGACATACATAGGTTGGAATGGTTTTGTGCACCAAGAGGAGTGAGGGAATGAGGGTTGAAGAGAGAGAGCTTGAGAGTTGTTAGGGTGGTTAGGATCAGTAGGTGGAGTGTTTGGTTGGAGCTTTCTGTTTTTGCTGTATAGCATTTTAGTCACTCCGCAGTTTATTAACTGTGTCTCAACTCTCCTTTATTCATTGATAACCAAATTTTTAACTCCAGCCAATGCCGTCATCGTAATGTCGTCTACAACAGACACAGAAGCATGTACTATGAACAGTTAAACTGAATGATGAAGACACCGATCTGACGACGTGTGTAAACAACTCGAGCAAAATTAACCGGTCTGATGATCGTTAGAACAATTTTTAAATCTAGCGTCAGGCTCAATTTAAATTCATTCCTAAAACGTGATAACTTGATAATCAAAACTGGATAATATTATGCGGTTTGTTCGCGCTCTGCAAGTTTTGAAATCTTCTATCACTGCTTGTCAGAAAAGTGTGGAAATAAACGTTATAAATTCTACTGATTGTTATTTAGTTTTAATTACAATATTTGAAAAATAACATTGCAGCATTGCAGAATAATTCCAACCAAAAAGGAATCTAAATTCCCGACAACCTGGAGCTGCGCCAGAGTTAAGACCTACATTCAATACATATCTACTTACATATTACTACCTACTATCATGCATTGACAAAACTATTTCGTCGTGCAGAAACTAGGATATCACCACAGTACAGGGGTACTTTAGAAGCTTATTCCATAACACATTAAACCAGTGGCGTAACGAAGGGCCCCGCTGTGCGAAGGTGCGCCAACAGGGGGGCACTTTTTCAGCGGGGGGGGGGGGGGGGGGGGGGGGGGCGCCAACAGGCAACGTTACGCCACTGCGTTTAAACAACATTTGCAACATCCTTGCACATAGATCGGTTATTCAGGTATAACGACAAGTCAGTTACTAAAGTAAGATAATAAGTCAAATAACGTTTTGACTTACCAAAAACACATGCGAGCAAATTGTGAGTTACAGACGGCATTTAGACCTAAGAACCTTGATTTTAGTGATGTATTGATAGGAAATACATAAACAGGTCAATGTTAGATGTGTGATCATCTTTAGAAACACTCTGGTAGATGTTTAGAGGCGGAATCAGAAAGGTTGGCATTTAGTTTCTCTAAATCACCTTTAAATAATCTTATCTAACTAGATTATAATTAGCTTTTTTGGGTTCTTTTGCGATAGTGTAAACGTGATAGCTAGCGCCATCCAGCGCTAATTAGCACTGGATGGCGCTAGCTATCGCGTTTACACTATCGCAAAAGAACCCTTTTTTGTTGTAAAACATTAGCTGATTAGCAATAAAACCCGCTCAAACTTCCTGATTAATTTAGATTGGCTGATAATTGAGTGTGCACATTGTACAACAGAGAGTGACTAATCATGTGATATTTGAGGCAGCAGCATGCTGGGCACCGTCACTGTGTTGGTAGTCACAACAAACTAACCATTAATAACTTATAATCTACTAAACTAGTAAATCGTGGATTTTAGTTCTGAACATGAAACATCAACTGAAGCAACGAAGCAACTTGAGAACTTGCAGGATTGCTCTAAATTCTTCTCTTCTCTCAAAAAAAACATCACACTAGAGACACATTGCTCTCTCAACACAATTGCTCTAGATCACGCCAATACTTAGCTCATATCTACATGAGGTCTGATTACTTACTGTAACTTATTCTTCATACAATTGCAACATATTCTGCTATTTCAAGTGTCAACAGACATGTTTTTGCTTCAAAACTTTCATAATAAATATCATGTAATCCTCTTGTATTCCTTTACTAAGGATGATACTAAAAGAAAAAATAATCGCAGCAAGAGGTATACACAATTCTGTTAATATTTTAATACCGCCAATGCCCCATGTTTAGTCAACTGTGATTGATAGCCCTCCCCCTGTATAAAGGTATCTGCTTTCTGTCCTGTTACTACATCCCACGTAAACGTTCTGTTCCGATATTCAGAGGTGGGGGGACTGGATCAGATATCCTCTTCGCGTGTACTCTGACCGACGGAGGTGAGACGAGCAGAGTAGCAAAATAGTCCTTCATTCTGAAACCCTTTCGTTGGTTGAGTTTCCTTGATTTGCCAGTAATAGGGAAGCTTTTACCTGTGGATCAATGTGATCCTGGTCCAGCTTTAGCATGTCTGCCCTGCCAACTTTGCTTCCTCCAGTTCCCGGACCTGCCCCTCCAGCAGAGCATCTTTTGCTGCTTGATAACATCGCCTAGCTTCTGAATCGCCCTCTTGAACAGCTATTCGTTGTCTCTGTATGCAAATCTGATGGTATTTTATGCTACATTCCCTCAGAGCTTCAGCCTGGACATCTCAAACTTGGAGTCCCGCAGGATTTTACATCTTTTCTTTTCTCCTTTTCAGGTAGTAAAAGTCGAAGAAGTTGTCCAACTACCACTGAACTAACATTTATCAGGTTATGCGCCACACAACAGAACTAACATTTACAGGTTACGCGCCACTACCCTGACTACCATTTCAGGTTACAAACGCCACTACCACTGGAAACTACCATTTATCAGGTTACACGCCACACCACTGATCTAACTTTTTCAGGTTATGCCCACACCACAGACAAACATTTCTATCAGGTTATGCGCCACGACCACTGAACTACCAATTATCATTACGCGCCACAGCCACTACCACTGAATACAAACATTTATCAGTTATGCCCACTACCACTGTACTAACATTTATTCAGGTTATGCTAGCCACTACCACTTAGAACTAACATTTACAGGTTATGCGCCCACACCACTGAACTAAACAGTTTATCAGGTTACGCGCCACTACCACTGAACTAACATTAATCAGTTACGCGCCACTAAACCACTGAACTAAATTTAATTCAGGTTACGCCACTACCACTGAACCTAACATTTATCAAGAGTTACGCAACCACTACCACATGAACTAACATTTGTCAGGTTATGCGCCACTACCACTGAACTAACATTTATCAGTTATGGAGTGCGCACTACTAACCACTGAACTAACATTTATCAGGTTACCGCGCCACTACCACTGAACTAACATTAATCAGTTACGCATCACTACCACTGAAAAACATTTATCAGTTATGCGCCACTACACTGAACTAAACATTTATAGGTTTATGCGCCACTACCACTGAACTAACAATTATCAGGTTACGCGCCACTACCACTGAACTAACATGTAAATCAGGTAATGCTACACTGACTAAACTGAACTAACATTTATCAGGTTATGCGTCCACTACCACTGAACTAACCATTTACAGTTATGCGCCACAACCTCTGAACAACCATTTTCAGTTTTTATCTGCCACACCACTACTACTACTAGAGACGTCCGGAGCTCCTAAGTCCGATCTACTCCAGAAAACCCCCTCCATATACCTTCCCGCATCAGGTTTCGCATTTCCTCTTTAGATTTTGTCCAACTTCCTATCAGTAAACATAGACAAGTAGCTTTGTCTTGGTAGGCCTTGCTGAGCTCTACCGTGCGATAGGTTCCCATAAGACTAAATCACTGGCAATTAGCTCAGATGTCGGATGCAGTGTCCCGCATTTTTAATCTCCTCTTCGTACACTTTTTTGACAGCCATGGGAGCTACCATACAAAGTTATATTGCTGACCTTGTCCTTCCTGAGATAACCAGCACCATACGCCAACATCTTTGATGTATTCCCGTCCAATCTTTTCCCTCTGAGCCTTTGTCAGTGTCCAGGTTTCTGATCCGTAAGCAGTACTGATTCACAACCGCTATGAACAATCTATCTTTAGGCTCTTTGAGAGTTTGGATTTCCAGATATCCTCATCTATGTAGGCACCCCACCGCTTTTCCTTTCTAAACCTCTAACCTTAATCACTCCCAATCTGTTGCTCTCAATCCAGGGAGCCTAATTTAATGAAATCATCTACATTTTCTATGCTTTCCCGATCGACTTTGTAGTCGCTAGATTCGATCTCCATATTCAGTGTCATGACCTTTGTTCTTGCCGTTCGTTATGTGTAGTCCCCACGCTGCTGCCGAGCCGATTCTACACTTACAGAACGTCGTTAGACCTTTGTCCCTGTCCACAGAATAAGTGCTATATCATCTGCAAAGGTCCACATCGTGATGATCAGCCCCACTCTTCTGCTTTTCTACGTTCGAGGGTGAGTCCAAGTCGCTTCCGCATCATCGCCTATAGTCTTGCCTCATACAAGTAATCGATGACTATTGTCAAGAGTAAGAGGCTAAGGTATCACCCAGTAAAACACCAGCAAGTATCATCGAAACAATTCAGTTTCTCCGTCCTGGATTAGGACTTTTGGCCATTGTACTTCTCGTACATAGAGCCGTAAAAGCTGCACGATTTTGACTGAATGCCGTAAGCTTCTAGAATCTTGTAGCCATTTCCCCGATGTCACTGCGACAGCTTCT